TCGGCATTCGGCAATGCTGCTTGCAGCAGACAGGGCTAGGCTCAGTGCTCAGCTGGTGCAGCCCCATCCCTGCGAGCCCAGTACTGCTTGCATGGGATGGGGATGGGCATGGGCTCAGTGCCTGAGCCCATCCCCATCCCCTGTGAGCAGTGCCAGGCTTGGCTGGGGACGCGCTGCTTACAGGGGATGGGGACAGGCTTGGCTGGCATGGCCCCATCCCCTGTGAATGGTGCTGGAAGTGCCGCTTGCAGGAGATGGGGCCATGCCAGTCATGCACTGAGCCCAACCCTGACTTATACACTGTGCCTATAAAATACTTACCTTTCAAATTGGTCAGCCCCCAGCTTTCCTATATACTGTATTGACCTATACACCGTGAAATACGGTACAGTCTTCACTTATATGCTGCAGCTAGGGTCCTAGAGTTGTATTATGCAGTTTAAGATTGGAACAAAAAAAACCTAAAAACAAACAACTTCCTTGGAATTATTTAAAAACAAATCTGAATGGTTAAGTAGTAAGAGTTTCATGACCAGGACCAGCTAGCACACAGCAGAATTGCAGAACAGAGGCTAGCTTGATTGGTGGAACATCAAGACCAGTAAAAAAGAGAGGGTCCTTAACACCCATGGAATGAGGAGTTTGGAAGGGGTCAGGTAGATTACAATGAGCCATGACATTAATTGACTTCTTCACTGCTGCCGGAGTAGAAATGCTGCTACCACTGCCAGGCAGTTTATTTGAAACTTCGGGTGGAGCAGGAATCAAGGCGGTGAAGTCCCTCCACCCAACCGCCTTAGTTTCGGGGGGGGGGGTGTACACACACACACACACAGGAAAGCAGTGCTGGAAGGGACCTCAAGAAGTCATGTAGAGTTCAGCACTCAGCTCAAGACAGGAACATCTCCAAGTCATTCCAGCCAAGCATCTGTCTACCTTGTTTTTCAAAGTTTCCAAGGACAGAGAATCCACAACTTCTCTAAGCAGCCTATTCCAATGCCCATCCATCAAAATTCTATATAGGTTCAAATCTACTCTGCCTTCTTCTTGACTTCAGACCAACAAGGCTAACTGTGTCTGACAAGACTGAGCCTGCTTTAATTGCACGTAATTTCCCAGAAGGAAACCAAGGCAGGGCTGTTTCTCCGACTCTGTGGGCTGTGTTCTGGTACCTCTGTGGCTGCCCAGGGT